GATGTTAAAGCTCCCTAAGGATTTCAGGAGCATGAACGCGAATGCAATGACGTATGCTAAGAGGCAGGCAGGTGGGTGAGGAGGACGTCAGTTGCAGATTCGCTGCCCTGGGAGGAGTCTTCGTGACAGAACTGGGTCTTGGAAGGGACGTCTGATAACCTTAATTAAGGAATACTCGGTTCTTCGACCTAGAACTCTCCAGAAGTACGTGGCGATTCCTTGAAGAAGGGAACAGGTAAACTACTTTTACATGTCTTTGTTCTTTTGATTCTGTTCCCAACTTTTGCAAACTTTACTTTGTTGATTTGGTTCCGTATTTTTTCGAACGCATGCAAAAATAATGACATATTTTGATCTGTTGTTTAATATAATGTTTTTTTTGTGTGTTTTTTTTACAATATATATGACAATTCGTATACATGCACATCAGAGTATTTCCAACTTTTCATATTCACTGAAGACCTCATTCCTATGTTATTTCCCCTTTTCTCACATAGTGTATCTACCTGTTGACTCGAGTGTCAGGTAAAACACATGATTACAGGAGATATATTTACCGAAAATATGAAAGTGAAGATGGGAATATCAGAAAGAGTGAATGATGATGGCGGAAAAGACTGACTACATTAAAGATGACAGACATGCTTTGGAACAAAGAGAAAACGAAAGATTGCGTATATCAGATCCATATTCGATATGAATACCCCCCAGGAATTACATATGTTACCTACATGACACAAGCTATGCCCCTAAAGGCTCTTTATACACACTCTTTTACACACTTAGACGCATTGATCTGCAAGATGTTGAGGCAGCGAATCTTCTTTCTGTGTTTCAGAAGAGTTCCTCACCCAAGGGCGCAAGACCCTGACCAACTATGGAAGCTCGCCAGTGATCTCCCCGCTCGCGTGTCTTTGCTTTTACTGGCAGGAGAACCTTTGACGATTGGCTTGTGGATATGGACCGTCGAGGGTCATACAGGGACGAGACAGCAGTGACTAATGGGCGTCGTAGCTCCTCCAGGGACGTCCTCCAGGACACAGAGCGTCGTCCATCCATCAGGGACGAGCTAACAGTGGATAAGAGCCGTCGCAGTTCGTTTAGGGACGTCCCACAGGAGTCAGAACGACGTCAGTCCATCAGAGATGATGTTCCTGACACTGAACGCCGTGGCTCTTTTAGAGACGCCAACGAACGCCGAGCTTCTTATAACAAAAGCTCCTCGCAGGACGTAGAGCGTCGTGGTTCGTTCAGGGATGCCCCACAGGAAGCAGAGCGACGGGGTTCATTCAGAAATGACGTAGCAACAGACAACAGACGCCGCAGTTCATCTAGGGAAGACTCGCAGGAAGCAGAGCGCCGCGGATCGTTCAGGGATGACGTATCAGTAGACAAGAGACGCCGCAGTTCTGCAAGGGATGTCCCACAGGATGTAGCGCGTCGAGGTTCATATAGGGAAGACATCACAGCAGACAGAAGACGCCCTAGTTCTTCTTTGGACGTACCAGTGCAGGATGCAGGGCGCCGTGGTTCATTCAAGGACGTCCCACAGCAAGGAGAGCGGCGAGGTTCCTTCAGGGACGCCCCACAGGAAACAGAACGACGTGGTTCCTTCAGGGACGCCCCACAGGAAACTGAACGGCGTGGTTCCTTCAGGGACGCCCCACAGGAAACTGAACGGCGTGGTTCCTTCAGGGACGCCCCACAGGAAACAGAACGACGTGGTTCCTTCAGGGACGCCCCACAGGATGCAGAACGACGTGGTTCCTTCAGGGACGCCCCACAGGAAACAGAACGACGTGGTTCCTTCAGGGACGCCCCACAGGATGCAGAGCGACGTGGTTCCTTCAGGGACACCCCACAGGATGCAGAACGACGTGGTTCCTTCAGGGACGCCCCACAGGAAACAGAACGACGTGGTTCCTTCAGGGACGCCCCACAGGATGCAGAGCGACGTGGTTCCTTCAGGGACGCCCCACAGGATGCAGAACGACGTGGTTCCTTCAGGGACGCCCCACAGGAAACAGAACGGCGTGGTTCCTTCAGGGACGCCCCACAGGATGCAGAGCGACGTGGTTCCTTCAGGGACACCCCACAGGATGCAGAACGACGTGGTTCCTTTAGGGACGCCCCACAGGAAGCAGAACGGCGTGGTTCATTCAGGGATGATACGAGGCGACTCAGTTCCTCAAGTGGCTCTTTCAGGGATGTCAAGGAACGCCGGGCATCATATAACAGAGACGTCTCGCTTGACGAAGAGCGCCGTGGCTCCTTCATGGACGTCACTCCTGACGGCGAGCGCCGACGATCGATCAAGGACGAAATCTTAGAAGCCGAGCAAGCTGAACGCGACCTCGAAGAGAATGACGGCGATCATTCCCGCCCCATATCTCGCAACAGCATCCTGAGGTCCCCCATCCCAATCATCGACATCCAGGAACCACAGCCAGACGACCACATGACCCCCACTGAGAGCGAAAACGAATCGGAGCTCGATGCTGAGTTCAACCTCGAAGAACATTCACAGAGCCTCCAGTACAGGAAGTCCCTCAGTGACATCCTCCCAGACACTCAAGCGGTGCCCCAGCTCGTCACCTATCAGCAAGTACTCGACGAGGATAACGAGAGGCCACGTAGTAGGTCGAGCGTTGGGTCGGACGCCGAGGGCGAGCAAAAGGAGCCCGCCCGTGACTGGATAAAACCGCCCACTGACAGAGGGCCACGGCTCTCCATTGGGCAGGGAATGTTCAACCTGCTAGTTAGGAGGTTCAGCTCAGCAGGATCAGAGGACCCGCCTCCCGCAGATCAAAACACCAAGTCCCAGGAAAATGAAGTCAGTAGATCCCCAAGAGGTTCAATAACAAATCTAGATGTTCGCAAACTATCAAGAGGTTCTACTGTGGACCAAGAAGTGTCAAGGTCACCAAGGGGTTCTATTGGGGCTCAGGGCAGTAAATCACCGAGAGGTTCTTTTGCTGACCACGGCGTTTCAAGGTCACCAAGAGGTTCCATTAGTGAACAGGTCAGCAAGTCACCAAGAGGTTCCATTGGTGAACAGGTCAGCAAGTCACCAAGAGGTTCCATTGGTGAACAGGTCAGCAAGTCACCAAGAGGTTCCATTGGTGAGCAGGTCAGCAAGTCACCAAGAGGTTCTTTCGCGGACCAAGAGGCTTTCAGATCACCAAGAGGTTCCGTAGGAGAAGAGGTGGATAAGCCACCAGAAACCTACTGGTCCCCAAGGAGTTCCGCTGGCGAGCAAGATCTCAAGGCAACAACGGATTCCTTTATAGAGAAAGAGACATTTTGGTCACCAAGGGGGTCCATTGGGGAACAGCATAGCCTTCCGCCAGAGGAGTCCATGACAGGCCAGGTTTCCAGCTCACCAAGAGCTTCCATTGGAGAACAAGTTAGCAAATCACCAAGAGGGTCTTTTGTGGACCAAGAAATTTCGAGGTCGCCAAGAGGTTCAATTGGGGGACAGGTCAGCAAATCACCAAGGGGTTCTATTGGGAACGAGGGAGCGTCATTGTCCCCCAGAGGTTCAATCGGGGGGCAGAGCGGCAAGTCGCCAAGAGGTTCCATTGCGGATCAAGAGACTGAGAGGTCACCAAGGGGTTCCATCGGAGAACAAGTCAGCAAGTCGCCAAGAGGTTCTTTTGTGGAGGTTTCGAAGTCGCCAAGAGGTTCTTTTGTGGAGGTTTCGAAGTCGCCAAGAGGCTCAATTCCCAGCCAACCCCAAAAGTCCCCTCGAGGTTCTTTTTCCGAGCAGGAGGCTTCCCGTTCCCCTCGAGGATCCACTGCGGGTGAGGTCGCGTCACGGAAGTCCAGTACTTTCAGGGGCAGCCACGAAAACTTCGAGACCGACCTCCCAGAAGAAGACCGCTATCAGGACCACGGCCTGCGAGACTCCATTAGCCACGAGGACCCTGGGTTCTCCCTCACCGCCTCCCTCACCTCCTTCATCAGGAGGCTGAGCGGTGGCAAGATCGTCACAGACGTTATCAGTAACACAGATAATTCTCTGCAGGAAATCGACACCTCGCACACGAACGGCAAACTGCGCCACGACGACCACGAGACGCCGAGCAAAGTAAACCTTCCGCCCGAGACAATGACGGCCAATATAGACACTCTCGAGGTCCAGCCGACGAAGGAGACCGAGCTGCCTAAGAAGTCTGTGCAGAGGTAAGGAATCTGTTTATTATTCTTAAGTTTGTCTCTGTTTTTTTTCTGTGTCCTCTGCTGTGATTGGAATATTGTGGTTACTTGGATCCGTAAATTACTACTTTATGATCATTCTGTATTTGTAAATTACTTATCGTCCATATATCTATATCACGAATAAGCCATTTACCCTACCCCCCCCCCCAATCTACACACACACACACACACGCGCGCGCGCGCGCCCATACATAAGCCACACTCACATACCTACTCTCTCTTACTCCCGTTTCCCTCCGCCCTTCAGCATCACAACCGTCACCTTTTGCGGGTGCGGCTTCCTGGGCGTGTACCTGGTGGGCGCCGCGACCTACCTGCAGGACCACGTGCCTTCCCTCCTCCGGGGACGCCTGGCGGGGTCGTCCGTCGGGTCCCTCATCGCCACCTGCATCGCCTGCGACGTCCCGTTGCAGGTGAGAGGGTTCCGGTCTTTTAGCTTTAGAGCGGGAGCTATATTCCGTTGTTATGGTGGTTGTCGATATTGCAGTGACGATGGTTTTAAAGTTATCACCTGGATCGCAATCGTTGTCATCACCATCACTATAACCATCATCCCCATTACCATCATCATCATCCTCACCATCACCATCATCATCACATCACCATCATCATCATTATCATCATTATCATCATCCTCATCATCATCACTCCCACCACCACCATGATGATGATCATCATCATAATCTTCATCTTCATCCTCATGCTCATCCTCCTCATCATCATCATCACCAATATGATCGTCATTATCGTAATCATTATGATCACCAACATCATCTTAG